CCGCCGCGTGAAATGACGCCGTTGAAACGTTTGGCGAATTAAACATTGATTTTGTTGGTAAATTTGAATAATTTGAATACGTTGAGCAACCGTGTAACGCTCCATTATCAAATGTCATAATATGCCAACAAAACTTCAAAATATTTGACAGCTGTGTCTGTACTGACTTAGCTATAGCCGCCTATCAAACATCGAGCGTACCTAATTGGACACCCTTTATATATAATAATAATAATAATAATAATAATAATAATAATAATAATACTTTATTGCCCAACAGATTTACATCCAATTAAAGGACAAAATTATACAATATACAAGTTTATACGTACATAAAATAAAACAACATTTACACATTAATGATATTTTTGAAAAAGTAATCAGCTTCTTTTAATAAGAAAGTTAGCGAAGAACTATTAATGTCAATTTTTGAAGATATTTCGTTAATATTTTTCATCATGACTTGCAGTGGAGATTTCAACAAAACATTAGTACGGGCATTATCTTCCCTAAAAGTTAATTTAGTCCTAGAGTTTAAACGGGGAATATACAGATTAAACATAGATAATAACAACATACAGTCGATATTATTATGAAACAAGTCATACACAAATTTTATGCTAAACTTAACTCTACGCAATTCAAGTGAGTCCATTGAAAAGGCCCGAAGTAATTCAGCCTGAGGATGACCTCTGATAGGATAAAAACCATGAATTCTAAAGTTTACAAATTTCAGGAATCGTCTTTGAATATTTTCCAACGAAACTTTGTAGGTTGTGTAAATTGGGTACCAAATCAAGCTGCAATATTCGAGCCTTGAACGAACAAACGAATAATATAATAGTTTGTGAATTGACTTGTCTCATATCATTGTATGATCTTTAGACCAATAAATATTATTATTATTATTATTATTATTATTAATACAAATTTTTTAATGCGTTTATATCATTGAATGTATCAGAATTCCTTATAATAAATCCCAACATTTTACATAACATACATAACTAGTTATATTACTTATATGCCTATCAAAAGTTAATTTATAATCAAATAAAACACCCAGATCTTTGACAGTATACATATAAAGCGTGGCCTCGCCTCCCTTCAATGCGCGACACAGTAGCTAAGCAAATAGCCTGCATCGCTAATGAGATTTTTTGCATTATTATCATTTAATTTTTTAAGTCGTCTTACCTGCTCGACCTTTCGTCATGTCGTTTATCACACAAGCTACTGTGACGCGGCTTGGAGGGAGGCGAGGCCACGCCCCATATATATATTAGTGTCCGACCGAAGCTTCGGCTTCGGCTTCGGCTTCGGCCACCTTCGGCCAAAAAACCACATTCGGTCGCACATTCGGCTTCGGCCAAAATCAGCCGAAGGATTTTTGCCGAAGCCGAAGGTTATAATTATTGGATATGTCCTATTTATATTTTAACAATATACTAAACGCAATAACACTTTACTATTTATATTGTTATATAATTTTTTTTAGTTTAGTCAAGTCAATTTTTTTTAAGTCTTATTAAACCTTCGGCTTCGGCTTCGGCTTCGGCCGAAGGTTACAACAAGAGCCGAACCTTCGGCTTCGGCTTCGGCTTCGGCCAAAAACTGACATTCGGTCGGACACTAATATATATAGATATATTCGGTTTTACTTTGAACGGGCTGTATATGTGAATTGTGCTTAAAACATTGTATTAATCTTGTGAATTAACAAAACCCTAAAAAAATAGACACTGGGCCTTCGGCCTCGTGTCTTAACCTTTCAGCTTGTTTTATTTGCTTCTTAATCCACACATTATGGCATGCCGTTTTACTTTTTAATGTCAAAATAAAAATAAATCCAAAAATAATAAGTCAAAAATAATTAGTTTCAAATTGTTATAGAAAAATGTATTAAAATTAAGATGCAAGATAATAATATTTTAATGAATTAAAATTTATACTCAACCTAAAACCACATTTTGAATTAATATTTTACAAAATTAAATAACTTGTAAAACATTAATTTTACGTTAAAGAGAATTTTTAATGACAAGAAATTTGATTCGGTGTTAATAACACAACAATAATGGATTAAAATAAAATTTAAAAGAATATTTTTAGATATCTTAATAATTATAAACTAATAAATTACAATGTTTTCTAATTATATTTTAAAAAATTGTTTTTATTGAATAAAACTTTAATTTAAAATATAAATGTTTTTTAAGAAGAAAATATATTTGCTGAATTTCCATTATGTACATAATTTTAATTCCTGTATTAAAATTATGTCCATAAAAAAAATTCAACAGAAATAAATATTTTATATTGTTCTAATCCACTTACTCAATGTCATCAACTTATATTTTGTTATAATATAAAATATCTCTAGATGTATATAATAATTTTCTTTAAATATTTAAATATTTTGGTCATTGAAAGCGTTTTAATTACCTATTAAATTAAAATTATGATGATACATAATAAAAATTAAATTATTAAAAATTATGTAATAACTTAATTTAAATTGATTGAATTATTATTATGTTTCAACATAATTTTAATTTGAGAATTTACTGAATTTTTATTATGTAGCATCATAATTTTAATTCATGATTTAATTCATAATTTTAATTCATGAATTAATATTATGTCTTTACCACAATGTGGATTGTGGTGGTCTTTACATAATTTTAATTAAGGCTTCTTTTATTTGAACCTAGAGTCGCACTAATTTATATAGAAATCTAAAGTTACCCGGCATTTCTATGTAGAAGAAAAAGAATAACCAATATAATCATTTAATCTTTTTTTAACGATATCGTGCTTCCCTGCTTAAAATACCCCATAGAGACCTATATAAAATAATCTATCGGGCCCTGCCGGATTCAATATGTGCATTTGTCCATGGTTTTTTCCGGATACGGCCCGATAGAAAATTTATAGGAAATTACCTATAGGCACACCATAACTTTGACATTTTTCCTATTGAGACCGATAGCAAATAACTCAATGAATGATATATAAGGATATCCCTATACAACAACCATAAAACATTTGACAAAATTTTATTAAAACCTATGCGGCCCTATGGGGGAAAAACTAATTTCTACATTTATGTGTATTTTCCCCATTGAAACCAATAGCAAATAAATCAAGGGTGGATATCCCTATAGAACAACCATAAATCCAAACTCTGGGTCCTATACATACCGATACACCCTATAGAAACGCCATACATTCCAATACAAATATCTATCGGTTTGAACAGGGTCTCTATGGGGTATTTTAAGCAGGGTTTTTCTATGTTATCCAGGGGTTATTAATCCATGATGTTATCACACGTAGACACGTACTTAATTATATATTTACTTTTTATGTATTAATAATTGATTAATTAGAATAAATATTTATAAAAATGTATATCCTGGTTAGTAGTTGCGGTACCTCTCACAAACTTCTTTCCTTTTGTTTTTCGTCTTACTTCTGTCCAATTTTTGTCGTTATTTTGATGATCAAAATTTGATCTTTTGATTTGACATTTTTGTGTTCTTCTTCTTCTTCTTTTGTGGCCGCTATAACAACTCTCGTGTGGAAGTACCTATTAACAGTGACGTCTAGGGTCCTAGCATTAAACTTGAATTAAAATTATGTCTTTACATAATTTTTATTCACTGAATTTTAATTCAGAAATAAAATTAAGTAAAGATCGACATAATTTTAATTCAGTGAATTTTTTATTATGTATCATCATAATTTTAATTTAACAATTAAAATTATCATTTTAACATAATTTTAATTATTGAATTAGAATTATGTTGATACATAATAATAATTAAGTTTAATATTTTAATTATAAATGTATACACTAAAAATAAGGTAATAAATAAAAATCTACAATTATGGAAATAATATTTTTTAAATTAATATTATGTACATAATACAAATAAACTAAATTAAACTTATTGATTTTTTATTATGTACAATAAAGGTAGATTTTTTATTTTGTACATAATTTTAATTGAATAATTAAAATTATGTGCATAATAAAAATTCAAATGAACAAAAATGGTTATCCATTGAAGAAATTCTGTGATTTAATTCGAAATATTAAATGGGAATTACAAAATATTGATCTAAATAACTTTTAATAGGATTTAATATAATTTTATTTCGCTGGATTATTATTAAATGCGATATATATTGTTATATTTACTTTGAAGTACGGAAAAAATTACTACTACTAAAATTTTGTTTTATCTTAATTTTAACCAGTTGATTTTTTATTATGTACAATAAAGGTAGATTTTTCATTTTGTACATAATTTTAATACTACATTTTTGTATATATTAAAAGGCAAATAGCAAATATTTTATTGGATAAATAGGAATACAAATTAATTTGGACATTTTATTTGAAACAAAAAATAAAATGGTAAAAAGAGAATTTATTTGTATTGTTTTAATTTTTAATCAGTCCTATTTTAAATTGTTAAACAAAAATTGCGCGCATTACTTTGTTTTTTTTAATAAAACTGATATATTTTTATATTATGGCATAATAAAAATACATTATTATTATGATGATTCATAATATTATATGCTTCTTAAGAATATAATATAGGCTATAATTATAGCCTATATTATACATGTATTTTGTATTAAAATTATATAATTATGATATATATGATATATGATATGATATCATTCTACATAATTTTAATATATTTATTTTATGATTAAACATAATATAAATTAAACTTTAAAGTTAACTAATTTTATTCATATTTTAAGTTAAAATATTTATTTAAAATTATTATTTTACAATCTTGCTATTAAAAAGTACACATACAATAAATAACTATAAAAATATTATTATACATTCAAAAAAATTTGAGGAAGAATGTTACATTTCCACAAACATTTTTATTTTGTTTAAAATATCAAAAAAGTACGAGTTAATAAAACCAAATTTATATAGACAGATTTAACTTAAACAATATTAAAATTTAACAGAAACCCATTTTTCTTAATATAACTTCTATATCGTCATAAACTGTGCTATCTACAACGGTAGCTGAAATCTGAAAAAAAACTTAAATTATTCTTTTCACCTAACTGGAATTCAAAATATTAGGTTTTTTTAATTTTTTTTTCACGATCTTCCTATATGGGTGCAATATAAAAAAAGTTTTAGCTTTTTAAATTAATTTATGCAAATTTTAAATCTTTTCATCAAATATTACCAATGTTATAATATTTATTTTATTTTATGAATTTAAAAAAGTACATGTCTTGTGGGGGCCAGGTTGAAATTAATTTAAAAAGCTGAAACTTGCAAGGATTTTTTAAAATGTATTTTAAAACGATTTAGGACCAGCGTGCCCAAGCAGCATTTTTGGTTCCAAAAACCATTGCCAAAGTGGTGATAACTTTAGATAAGTTAAGTATACTAAACAGCTACTTTAATTTTTACTTAAAAGTAATTCTAACTATTAAATAGCAATATTTTGTAACAGAAACTTAATTTTTCCTTAAATGGTTACTATAAAGTAATAAACATTTAAGTAAAACTTGGTTGCCCCAAGAAGGCTTTGCAACTTTAAAAAAGGTGTTATAAGTAAAAAAAACTATCAAGTAAATTTAATTTGTAGCAGTTACTTTCGGTTGCTACCTAAAGATTACATTATAATTATTTTTACTTCCCTTTGCAAGTTAAAATCTCGAAACTGGAACATGAGTTAAAAACTACAAAGTTAATAACTTAAAAGTTATTATTTTAGTATTTGGAACGTTTATGGTACTAACCAAAACAACCGTAAAGTGGAAAAAACTTTAAAGTAGCGAAAACTACTTCAAAGGAAAATGCTTCTTATCGGCCATTTTTTACTGTACAGTACCACGTGGTAATGTAAATAATAAATTATTTTAATTGTTTGTAAATGGTTGTTTACTTTTTAATAAATAGTAATTTTGTTGGTAATAGACGGTAATAATAATCAAATAAAAAAATTAATAATAAATATTAATATTTTTTTATTTATAAACTTTACTAAATAAATAATTTGTTTATACTTAAATATTGATGATACGCATTTATTTTACAAAAACTAAATTCAAAAGTTCAACAGTAAAATTTAAAGGGTTTATAAATTTACCTGCCTAATTAAACAGTATATTGTTATTCTGAAAGTTATAAACTACCAGTACATATTTAATAAACGACGACATTGAAAAGCCAAGTCCGTAGTGGTTCCACTTAAAAAGGAGGGATAGTATAATCTAATATAAGTTTGACAAAGACAGTTAATATAGAAGTAAAAACAAATAAATAAAAGTAATTATAACGCTCTAGCAACGATATTGGAACGTTCTAGTAACGTAGCAGCTACGTTCCAAATAGTAGCAGGGTTTATAGCTAGTGACATATTTGCTACCTTTTTGGAACTCAATAATTGTTCCCAGTGGCGGCTGGTGGATTTTGGGCACACTCATATCTCAGTTATTAGACATGGGACCCACATCAAATTTATATGAGTTTATAATGACATTATATAGACAAGTTCTGCGCAAGCAGAATTTAAATTAAAGTTTGCGAAAAAAAGTTAGTTTTTAAGTGCAACCCCCAGCCTTCTGCCCCTCCAAATTAAGATAATTCAAATTAAAGTGGTACAATATTTAATTCACTGAAGTTTATCGACAAATTTCAAATTTTATTAAAAAAATTCAAGAATTACAGGTTTTATACCATTTTTAATTTTTATTATTTCTTTTACTAAATTTAAAAAAAATTTGAAATGGTATAAAACCTGTAATTCTTGAATTTTTTTAATAAAATTTGAAATTTGTCGATAAACTTCAGTGAATTAAATATTGTACCACTTTAATTTGAATTATCTTAATTTGGAGGGGCAGGAGGCTGGGGGTTGCACTTAAAAACTAACTTTTTTTCGCAAACTTTAATTTAAATTCTGCTTGCGCAGAACTTGTCTATATAATCTCATTATAAACTCATATAAATTTGATGTGGGTCCCATGTCTAATAACTGAGATATGGGTGTGCCAAAATCCACCAGCCGCCACTGATTGTTCCCCACTTTAGTCGTAACTTAGTTATAAAAGAGTAATATAGAGAGACCGGCGACTGTCGCAAAACACTTTAAAGTTTCTTCAATAGTCCCATATACGCTTGGGTGAAAAAAGGACCATCCTAATATATATTTTTATTTTTGTTGTGGTAAAACCTCACCTTCTTAAGTTTATTTCTGGATAAGTCAGCAATGGATTTCCTACAAATTTTTCCAGATCTCGTCATTGGTAGGGCTCTTACAGATGCACATAACTTAAAGCAAGCTACAGGACCAATAACATTTCTTACTTTGGCAATTAGTTCTTGGGTTATTTGATATTCGTCTCTTTTTAATTCTGCAATAGAATATACCAATAAACAAAAATATTCATACTTACTTAATCAATACATTTTCATATTACAAAAACTATTTTTACTCATACAACGTTTATTCTTACCATTTCTTACATACAAGCACAACGGCACCTCAGTCTTAATAGGATCTGGAACGCCAATCACGCAAGCATTGGCAACATTGGGATGAGATAGAACCACGTTTTCCAAAGCCAACGTTGATAATCTGTGTCCTGCTACATTAATGACGTCATCTGATCTAGCGGTGATGTAAATAAGCCCTTCATCGTCAATGTATCCAATATCCATGGTGTCGTAATAACCCTGAAGAAAATGTGGTTATTGAAGTTATTTTTTTTCTGTAGAACTTACAGGAAATTGTTTGAAGTAACTTTCCACGAATCTTTTGGGGGCATTGTATAAAGTAGACATAGGTCCTGGAGCTAAAGGAAGCTTTACTGTTATTCGTCCCAGTTCATTTCTGTCTGCTAAAGTTCCATCTTTTCTAAGGATGTCAACTAGAACATTTTACAATTAGTTTTATTTACCACTATTCTCTTATGTAAAAGTCAAATAAGGATCCACCTTAAAATAAGAGACACTGGTTTTACTCATATTCCTAACTCTAACTTTATTCCCTAATCTTGTTTTAGGTAAAAATACAAAATAACAAGTCCTATACAGCTTTCGTCGAGAGAAGGGAGACTTTGTCACATCGTGTGCTATAATAATGCTATTATGTAACATGAACGAGGAAAGAGGCCTGACTTTAAAAAAGTTTAATAAAGCCTTATGGCCATTTAAAAGATCTTGTTTTAAAAAACTAATTTTTGTTTTATATGTGCCACATTGTGTAAAAATACATCAATTTAAATAAATTATATAAATATTATAACTGAGGTAATTATGGAATTATGTTATTTTATAAATTAAGACCCCAGACATTAACCTTTAATACAAATAATTACTTGCAATATATTGTATATTGTGTAATATAAAAGCAAGTTTAAATACAATTTATTTTGATATTTTTTTAATTAAGTCAATCAATAAAATTAAGCGTACAGTTTATCAATTCAAGTTATAACATCATAACAGAATATCAGTATTTAAAATTAAGAAGGAAAACCACCAACTTAGACCTCGATGCAAAAAAACAGGATTGCAAACTCAATGAAACTTTTAAATAAAAATATTTAATTAACTTAACAAAATATTTATTATTTTGCAACTTACCTCTGTGTCCTGGTACCGGCAACCCAATACAAAACTTGGTGGGACTGCAAGGATTCTTAAGTCCCAAGCACATGGCAGCAACAGGACTTCCTGTTTCAGTCTGCCACCAGTGATTCAAAACGGAGACATCAAAAATATTTTCAGTCCACATTTTCGTGCTTAAATCGCAGTGCTCTCCGCCAAACCAAATTTGTCGTAGACTGGATATATCGTATTTGGATCCGTATTCGCCTTTTGGATCTGCTTGTTTTAGTACTCTCATTGCAGTTGGTATCGTGAAGAGAGAGTTTACTTTATATTCATTGATTACTCTGCAAAATATATAAATAAACATTTTCCTTTTATTACTTTTTTAATTACTATGACCTTCAAAATATTGAATACCAGAATCAGAGATTAGGTAGAAAACCAGATTCTTAAAAACAGTTTCTGACTAATCCATAATTCTTGTTGGTATTATCTTATATTGTCCTTATATTTTAACATAATCATACATTCTAGTATTAGTAAATATAGGTACCTGAAGTATTGTCCTGGATCTGGAGTAGTGGTAGGTTTGCCTTCGTATATTATACTAGTTACTCCACATATTAACGGTGCATAACACATGTAAGAGTGACCAACCACCCAACCAAAATCACTAGTAGCCCACCAAACATCATTTTCTTTCATGGCATAGACTGCATCCATCGACCAGGCCAAAGCCACCAAGTGACCTCCTGTTGATCTTTCTATTCCTTTTGGGTCTCCTAAAATGAATGTATTAAACTTTCTTTATTTCTTATTAAAATTTATTAAGCTAAATAAACTGACATGAACAAAATTGTCGCTTATATGAAAACGTTCCCCAGTAGCACAAAATATTGGTCCTATATGGGGCGCATATATGCCCAATATTTTATCTGGGACCAATATTGGATTTATTTAGCCGATGTTGGCCCTATATTGGCATAAAATGGTTATTTAATATATCTTGCCAATGTTTATCCAATGTTGGTCCTATATTGGCATATCATTTTACGCCAATATATCATTAAACATATTTATCCAAGATCGGTCCAATATTGGCATATCATTTTAAGCCAATATATCATTAAAATATTTATCCAATGTTGGTCCTATATTGGCATATCATTTTACGACAATATATCAATAAAATTATTTATTCAAGGTTGGCCCTATATTGGCGTAATATTGGACCAAGCTAGAAAAAATCTGACGAAAGATATGTTGGCCCAATATACCAATATTGGGCCAATATCTTTGTGCTACTGGGGTTTTGGACCAGAATACTACGTTTGATTTCTTCCTTAAGTTAACAAATTTGTCAACAACTCTGCAACATGCATAAAATTCTATGTATTTTACCTGTGGTTCCCGATGTATACAAAATATATAAAGGATCGTTTGCATCGACAGGTACACAAGGATGTGGCTCAGCATTTATTAAAGCTTCATTCCAGTCAACATCCCTTTCAGGATCCAAAAAAGCTTCCTGTATCTCTTCTCTTTGAAAAACAATGCATTTTGAGGGTTTATGATCGGATACTGCCAAAGCACGGTCCAGAATTTCCAAATAACTAACAACCAAAACCAAATTTATTTAAATAATGTTTTTACTTGTAAACATTTTTACTCACTCGACGATTTTGTTTGGTTCAATTCCACAGTTTGCTGTTAAGATAATTTTTGGTTTGGCATGTTGAAGCCTTAAACAAAGTTCCCCTGCTGCAAATCCTGTAGAAGAAAAAATGATTTTTTAATGCGGTTTGCAAAAATAATTATAAAAAAGGCGACTATTTTGTGATTGAATAATTTTTCAGGGTGAAAGTTTTAAATAAATAAGTACAATATGCTGCACACATTTACAAAACCCCATATTTTTTTTAGGTTTAAGTCATAAATCTTTTTTTTTAATCTTTTAAATAAAAATAAGTTAAAACTTTTAATAATACGAAGAAATGTTTTTGTAAAACACTGTGCGATGCTCCAAAAAGTAAATAATCAGCTCAAGGATGTCTTCTTAATGTAATAATAAAGTATTTACGTATCTGATTTTTAATTTAATTTTCTTTTAAACGTTTTGAAGGACTGGATAAATATTCCTATGGTAGGCCACTTTACCCTTTAAAAATACATTTTTTATCTAACATGGCGAATCATTTATTAAAAATTGTTACAAAAAATAACTACATATGCAAAGGATTGATGTTAAATGTATACTTTTATTTGAATCTTATTTTTACTTGTAATGTTTTTCATATGGTAATCATTAAAATTATATTCTTTATTTTTTTGTTTTTAAATTAGGTAGAGTATAATTTTACATGGGAGTACTAAAATTATGTGTACATAATTTAAATTTACCTAATTAAAATCAGTACCTATACATAATTTTTATTGAATTCAAATTATGCACATAATGCACATTTTAGTTAAGAGTTCATTAGACAAGAGCGAAGCTTTCCAACGAGTGTTTTAGTTAAAAGTTTAATTAGGCATGAGCGAAGCTTTATATAAATAAGTTTCTAGAGAAGTTTATAGTTGCATACTATACTTTATCTACCACGAACACATAAATAGTTTATTATGTATCAAGTTTGATAAACGCCATTTTAATTAAATAAGTGCCTAGAAAAGTTTATAAACGACTTGCATAGGTAATTTTTTTCAAATATTGGCGTTAAGAAACTATTAATTACTTTTGTATTCTTGTATTGAGATAATAATATAATTTTTACATTTAGTATTATTTTACGAGAAGGGCACTTTATTTTAACCATTGTATGAAATTTTACAACTGTTTCAGCCCGTTACTAAAAACCTGTTGCAATGTTCAACCCGTGACTAAAACGCCATAAAGCCACAACTTGTCAGTGTATTTAAAAGGTCACTTAGTGTAATGGAAACATATATAATAATTGGCGTTTTAAAGGTGGAAGTATAAAATAGTATATTATGTATTAAGTTTGATAAACGCCATTTTATACACGAATTTAATTTAGGCACGAGCGAGCTTGCGAGTGAGTGCTTAAGTTAATGAGTGTATAGAAAAGTTTATAAACGAGGTGCATACTATACTTTTTCTACGACAAATACTTATTATTAACTTAAAATGATTTAAATCAAAAATTTGTATAGAGCGCCATCTATGAAACAACAGGGGAAACTGTCAAATGTCACATTTTTACATTTTATAAACACAATTATAAAGGTTATAAATCGAAATGTATCTTGAAAATTGACAGTTTTTCACAGTGAAAGTAAAGAAAATGTTTTATGAGGACTTTACAGTAGAGTCCGTGCCCGAATTTAAGTTATAGTTTACTGCCGGCGAAATTAAAAGGTCAGTACAATGTTAATATAAACTTTTCAAATATTGGCGTTGAGAAACTATTAAATATTTTTGTATTTTTGTATTGAGATAATAAAGTAATTTTCACATTTAGTATTATTTTACAAGAAAGTCACTTTATTTTAACGATTGTATGACATTTGACAACTGTCAACTAACTTAAAACTAACTTCAGACCGTGACTAAAAACCTGTTGCTTACTTCAGCCCGTGACTAAAGCTCCGTAAAGCCACAACTTGTCAATGTGTATAGGTCACTTAGTGTCATGGAAACATGTACGATAAAGGGCGTTTTAAAGGTGGGAGAAGAAAAAAGGATTTAAAGCCAAATTTATTTGTCAAACATGTGACTGACAACAGTTACTGTTACCCAGATTTAGGCTCACTTTTTTTTTAATTTATAATAAAGCTTTATACAGTGACAAAAACGCCATAAAGTCACAGCTTGTCAGTGTAGGATTATAATCTACAGATACAAATTATGTTCTACATCGTTTTAAGTGGTTAAATTAATATTACTATATGAAAAACATTGCATCGATGAATTCAACTTGTGCAAGGTAGGTATTGTTTTAAAAAATGAGTTTATTAAAATAAGGTATCATAAAAATTGAACCTAATTATTTAAAGATAAAAAATATGGAGTCGAATTTAAAATATATGGAATTTGATTTTACAAAGTTGTCATATTATGTATGGCAAGCCGTTTACTATTTAATGTATTTTAAATTAAATTTGTGTACAACTGAATTTTAAATAATCCATTATTCATAAAACATAATAGAAATTGTAACTTTTTTAAACACAATACATTTGTAACAAATAACAGTTATCCCTTGCAAAATAATTATTCTTGCTTGCCATATATTCTGGCTGTCTCGCCAAATCAGTTCAATTCTGAAATTATAAATTTTAAGCCTATAGATGTAATGACTTGTTATTATTATTTTATTTATTTTTAGAGGTTGACCTTTGCTTTTTTCTATTTAAAGATGTGGTATCAAGAAAATCATAATTTGTATTTTAAAATGGAAACGTACAGTTTGGTCTTTACATTTTTATATAATTTAGATTTTTTCATTTTGTATGTCTCTAATAGAGACTATATAAATAAAACAAGCTCAGCAAGTTGAGCTTGGTGCTCGCTGCGGGTGGGAAACGCGCCGCGACCGCTCCACCTAGACTGGGTACTAATTTTAAAGATGAATTTTATATTTCTTAAGTCTTCTGTCACCTTATATGTATCATCTGTCAATTGTCATCTGTCACCTGTCATTTGTCTTCTGTAATCTGCTACCTGTCATTTGCCACCTGTCATTTGTCAACTGGCACCTGTCATCTGTCCCCTGTCATCTGTCACCTGTCATCTGTCACCTGTCATCTGTCATCTATCAACTTGACATCTGCCACTTGACATATGTCACCTGTTCACTTGACACCTGTCAAAGTGTTGTTGGATACTTTGTTGGGTTCCCAAAAAAATGCAAGATGGCGGAGAATGGAGAAGCGAAAAATGATCCACCCGAAAAACCATGCAAAGGATGTAAAACTGTGGCCAAGTCTGGTATAAATTGTGTAAAATGTGGAACTTTAATACACTACGGATGTGCCAAGAAGGTAAAAAAGTGCTGTGGCCTTAATTTAGGCGAAAATGAGGACTTTATCAATGAAGTGGTGAATGAGGCAAGTACTGAAAACTTTCAATTACTGAAATTACTGGTGCTTGAATTAAGACAGAGTAACAAACTGCTAAAAGAGAAAGTGATTTTTCTTGAGGAAAGGCTGGATGAGAAGGAATCGGAAATAGTAAAACTAAAGGTTAAATCAAATATACCGAAGACGCCAACTAATGATGTCACCATAAAGATACCGGCGCCAAATTTAAAATCGCCGGCTCCGAAGCAAGGCATAAATAAGGAAAATGAGGAAACTAATGCAGGCAACTCAACATACGCACATGTAACAACAAAGAATACGACACAATCTGGCAACACCGAACCTGTCAAAAACCAGCAGACAAAACATGCGGTAAAGAAAAGCGAAGCAAGTACAAGCAAAACAACAAACAAAGAAAATGATGGCTTTATTGAGGTTAAAAGGAAGAAAAGATTCATATATGGAAATAATGAAAATGTAACGTCCAACAAGCTCAGTGGTTATATTGCAAACTCTAACATCCATGTTTCTAGGTTAGATTTATCGCATACAAAGGAAGATGTAATAGGATATATAAGAGAAAAAATACCAGAACTAAGGGAAAAAAATATTGATTGTACAGAGCTGGAGGTAAAAACAAAGGCCTATAAAAGTTTTAAAGTTTCAATCCCAGCAACTCAGAAGAAGAATGTCCTTAGTAAGGAATTTTGGCCAAATAATGTCGCAGTCAAACTATTCTGGGAACACAAAAATTTTCGGAAGGAACCAATAAATTCGAACCAAACATAAAAAAGAAACCAGTAAAAGATAAAACACTTAAAATAGGTCATGTTAATATCCAATCAATCAGAAATAAAAGAGGTGAACTTGAAATATTCCTTAATGAAAATAAATTTGACATCATGTGTTTGACAGAACATTTCTTAACAGGACATGAAGCTGAGATAAGCCAGGTGGAAGGCTATACGATCATATCCAAATACTGCAGGAGTGAACATATGCATGGGGGTTCGCTTATATTATGTAGAAATGATTTAGTACCCGAAACAAAGGAAATTCCATACATGGTAAAAGAAAGCAAAGAAATGAACTGTGAAATAGCTGCAATAGAGCTTAGTGTGTATAAATTTGTTATTATTTCTTTATACAGACCACCTTCGGGAGACTTTAATGTTTTTATGAACTCAGTGGTAAATGTCTGCGAAAAATTAATAAGTGCCAATAAATATGTGATACTGTGTGGTGATTTTAACGTTCATTTTGAGAAAGATAATGAGGTAAATGTAAAAAAACTAATAGACCTTACAAGGTCATATGGACTTGAAAAACAAATATATGAATGTACTAGACTAAATCACTGTCTTGATAACATTTTTATAAATTTCTGTGATAAACTTAAATTTAGTACCAAACAATGCAACCCAGATCAGATCACAATGTTATTTATATTGAATTATTTATACCTGATTTAGATATAGAAAGAAAAACTGTGATATATAGGCCTTTTACACAATATGGTAAATATGTATTTTTTCAGAATCTTTTAATTGAAGATTGGTCATTTATTAATCATAAAATTGATATTAATGTAAAATTTGATATGTTTTTGAGAATTATTTTAAACCATATGGAAATTGCATTTCCTAAAATGGTTAAAAAAATTAGGGGTGAAAAAAATATTAAGTGGTTTAACCAAGAAATTTATGCTATGAGGGAGAAGTTGAGATTTTTTATGTCTTTTTACGGGAATTTTAGGTGCAGTCAAGCAGCGGAGATGGTAAGAGTATCGTAAAAGCATAATAGCGGCCAAAAAAGCAGCAAACTCTAACTATATAAAATCTCAGTCAAACAAATCAAAAGCAGCATGGGATTTAATAAACCAGTACAAGATATGTGGTGGAAATGTCAATGTGGAAGTCAAAGCAGAAACTTTTAGCAAATTCTTCGCAGAGATAGTGGAAGATCTTCGATCAGGGCTGGATGACTCTGGGGTGAGTTTTCAGGGTTACTTGCGTGGAACGGGAAAGAGAATCGGACTTGAACCTTTTACTTTTAAAGATTTTTCTTATAACGAGGTAAGAGATGCAATAAATGCTCTAAAAAATAAAAAAAGTAGGGATATATATGGTATGAACATTAATTTAATTAAATCCATTAAAGATATAATTATAATACCTCTTACAAAACTTCTTAACCAAAGCATAAAGGAAGGTATATATCCTGAATGTTTTAAAATGACCAAAGTTGTACCTGTTTTTAAAAAAGGAGACCAGAGTAGCCCCGGCAACTACAGGCCAGTCTCACTCATACCAGTTATGTCAAAAATAATGGAACACTTACTAAAAAAACAATTGTATGAATATTTTGAAAAAAATAATTTATTTTCCAAAAATCAATATGGCTTTCGGAAAAACCATTCAACCACTTTGGCTGTGTGTAATATAATTGAACAGATACTATCAGGATTTGAAGATAAAAGGTTCACCTCGGCGGTATTTTGTGACCTATCAAAAGCATTTGATTGCGTAGATCATAGAATACTGCTAGACAAACTTCATTATTATGGTGTGAGTGATACTGGTCTGTCGTTGATGAGGGACTATTTGGTAAACCGAAAACAAGTGGTTGAAGTGGGAGGTCAAAGATCAAAAGAAACAATCATAAGGTATGGGGTGCCCCAAGGCTCAATTTTGGGTCCGGTTCTCTTTCTGATATACGTGGGTGATGTTGAGAGCTCAATCAGCTCTGGAAATCTGGTACTGTTTGCAGATGACACCACTTGGATATCTTCAAACACAGACATAGATCTGCTCGAAATAGAAAGAGATAATAATATTGCTGAAATAGGAAACTGGTTTCAGGCAAATAAACTCTGTTTTAATGAAAATAAAACAGAGCTAATGACATTTTCCCTGAGACATTCTCAAAATAACATTGAAAAAAGATGTGTCAAATTCTTGGGAATTTACTTGGATTCCACATTGACATTTGAACCACATGTCAACGAGATGGCTGCAAAAATTTCAAAAAATATTTACTTGTTAAAATCAATTGTTGATTATGTAGATCTTGCCACAGCTAAACTAGTCTATCTTTCACAAGTTCAGAGCCTGTGCTTTTACGGTATTCTGGCCTGGGGGTCTTCTGCGCACTCAGCGCGCATCTTTGGCTTGCAGAGACGGGCGATGAGAGTGCTAAATAGGTTAAAGTATCGTGAAGACGTTAAGCTAAAATTTATTGAACAGAGTTTATTAACTGTAACTTGTAGATATATATATGAGTGCCTAATATATGCAAAAAATAATGTAAATAACTATAAAAGTCACTCTGATATCCACGAACATAACACCAGAAATAGAAATAATTTAGTAAATGAATACATTAGGCTTAGGAAATCTCAATTTTCGACCTCCTACCATGCTCCAATCTTCTGGAACAAAATCCCTTTAAATGTAAGAGATCTTCAATTGAAAGAATTCAGAAAAACCATGAAAACTTTCTTGATAGAAAAAGCGTTTTATTCTATTGATGAGTTTTTATTATCGTCATTTTAAACCTGTGATGTACCTGATGTTTTAGTAAGATGTACATGTTCCTAATGTTTTAGTATATATTTATTTAGTAGTGTTCAGTATTTTAATTATTTAATGTTTTTTATATTCTAATTATTTAATTTCCCCTCATTGACTTGTGCAAAATATTTTATTATAACACCAATAAAGATTATTATTATTATTATTATTATATGATTTGCGAAAAAAATTAAATCGACTTTAATTCAAATATCCACCGGATAAATGAATTTTATTAATTATATTTTTCGATTGGGAAATTTTTACAAAAGCTGGCAACACCGCAATTAAATTTGGCAATGCCGCATTATTACCTAATATTTTCTCATTTATCTTCAAGGCATAATTTTATTAGTTAAACGATACAAAAAATGTATAATTATATTAATTATTATTAAAAGTACAAATTGAGGTTAGTTAGATATGACAGTAATCGAATTAATTATTTTCTTACAGAACAGGAGGTAAAAAACTTTACCCGATTAGTCTTATATATTTTTTTCTACTCCCACCTTTAAAACGCCCTTTATCGTACATGTTTCCATGACACTAAGTGACCTTTTAAATACACATTGACAAGTTGTGGCTTTACGGCGCTTTAGTCACGGGCTGAAGTTAGCAACAGGTTTTTAGTCACGGGCTGAAGTTAGTTTTAAGTTAGTTGACAGTTGTCAAATGTCATACAATCGTTAAAATAAAGTGCCTTTCTTGTAAAATACCTAATACTAAATATGAAAATTATTATTATCTCAATACAAAAATACAAAAATATTAAATAGTTTCTCAACGCCAATATTTGAAAAGTTTATATAAACATTGTACTGACCTTTTAATTTCGCCGGCATTAAACTATAACATAAATTCGGGCACGGACTCTACCGTAAAGTCCTCATAAAAGATTTCCCTTACTTTCACTGTGAAAAACTGTTAATTTTCAAGATACATTTCGATTTATAAACCTTTATAATTATGTTTATAAAATGTAAAAATGTGACATTTGACAGTTTCCCCTGTTGTTTCATAGATGGCGCTCTATAAAAATTTTTGATTTAAATCATTTTAAGTTAATAATAAGTATTTGTCGTAGAAAAAGCATAGTATGCACTTCGTTTATAATTTTTTCTATACACTCATTAACTTAAGCACTCGCTCGCAAGCTTGCTCGTGCCTAAATTAAATTCGTGTATAAAATGACGTTTATCAAACTTGATACGTAATATACTATTACGGTCAAGTAAAAGTAATTAAAGATAAAATAAAAGTGTCGCCGAATTTAGTTGGCAACAGAAAAAACTATTAGATAAATATTTCACGAAAAAAATATTCTTTATAAAAACTTCTTAAGAGATTCCCATAAAAAAAATGAAATGTATGCACAAATACTTTTTTCTACATATAAAAAAATTGGAAAATTGATCAGTATACCTACAGGAAAAAACAAAAAGTTTATTTTTTCTTAATGGATCACCCTATAAATAAATTTATTTTTCGATTCCTTGTAAAATTATAAGCATAATTCATATTTTTAAAATAATATATATTATTTAAGTTAAAAAAGTTTGTATTTCTTTGTCTAAATACGGCATTTTTAGTAAATATTTAAAAAAAAACTTACCACCAAATACAACGGAATGTATAGCCCCTAATCTGACAGTTGCTAACATTGCCATAACCGTCTCAGGGATAAGGGGCATGTAAATAAGGACTCTATCTCCTTTTTCCACACCATATTGTGACAAAACCCCAGCTAATTTAGCAACCTTATTAAAAAAAATAATTTATTTACATAATTCGTAATATTAAAATAATAAAACTTACAGTTTTTTGTATTTCCAGGTAGGTAACTTTTCTTGACAGACCTATTATAGGGTTATCATGTATAAGGGCAACATTACTGCCTTTTCCATTTTCCACATGTCGATCAACTGCATTATAACAGGCATTTAGTTTTCCACCAACGAACCTTTTAAAGTAGGTAGTATGTAAAACGCAAAATAAAAAATAGTAAGTCTTACCATTTTGTGAAAGGTTCATCATTATTATCAAGGACCTTCTGCCATGGCTTAAACCATGTCAAAAGTTTGGCTTTTTGGGCCCAAAAGTTTTCAGGATTTTGTACGGATTCATTATACACATCGTTGTATTTTTCCAATTTTATCATGGTTTTAAACGAAAAACACTATAGGGCTCTATTATATAAATTATATACTTGATTGGACAACAATATTTCGGCGCGAGGTACACCTTGGATTTACGCCAAATAAGTTGTTTACTTCGGTATATATGGGTTTTTTTCTTATCAATGAAACAGGTTAAATTATTTTTATAAAGTGAATGCGTAAAAAAGGGTAAAAGTATTTTTTTAATAATAAATTAAACATGTTGTCTATGTACCTAGATTCTACATTGTAGAACCCTAATTAAAACATGATAACATTTATTGTAAATACTTTAAATTATTTTTCTAAATATATTACCTGCAATCTATAGTTTATAAATATTACTAATAAATGTCAATATTTTAGGTTAATAGTCCCGAAAATATTGTGCAATACTCTACAAGGGGGGTGTAGGGCTAAAAATAGAAAGACTACATAGTTCACCCAATGGGCCCTGAAGATATTTTATTATTATTATTTCTGAAACAGTTTAAGATAAAACAATGTTTTTTTCGGAAATATATGTATTTTAGAATTAATATTTATAATATATAAATTAAATTATATTAAATGTTTCTTTAAAAACGTCCGAGTTAAAATAAAATTATTTATGATTTTAATTTAAATAAAATAATTTTAAAATAATGTAATAAAATATTTATATTTATAATAATGAAAAAATCAAAAAATACAAGCTATTTAAAAAATAAAATGTACTATGCTCCACACCTCAAAGTCCCTCCACGTGACCACGAAATTCCAAAGTGTAAGGTGCAATATAAGTGATATTTTTGTGCATTGGGTATACATTTCTCCATAAAATAGTTATAACTAAACAGCATTTATTAAAAAAAATCTAACTTTTCTATTATGAAATAAGAATATCTGTATCAAAGGTAGTTATGTATTAGAACAAAAAATATCATCTATTTTTTATTTTAAGGTTAAACAAATCTATTTAGACCAAAATAAATAAGTGGATTATTTGGAAGAGTGTGTTAATATGGTCATAAATAAATGTAGGTATACTAAATAATTGTTGAATATAGTTCAAATTAAATTGAAGCTTTTATACTTCTAATGACAAAACTTGTGCATACCTACTTTAAGTTAGATTATAAGAAAACAAACAATTTTTAGAGAAACTTGCAATGTGAAAATATTTAATCCTCCCATGACATGTGATTTATTAAAATATTAAAGTTATAATGATTTTTCGATGTAGATCAAATTCAGTCAAAGCAATTTGTATTGACAAAACTTTATGTAGGTGCCAAAGAAGGTACACTTTAAGCTGGATAAGAAAAACTACCACATTTTTAAATACCATATTATACCGTCTTTTAAATAATCCAAAATACATATTTACTTTGGTCAAAATAAATTTTTCTAACCTTAAAATTACAAAATTAGATGATATTTTTGTTATAATATATTAACCTATAAAGATATATCCTATATATAGGATATATCTTTAATACAGATATTCTTATTCCATAATAGAAAAGCTAGATTTTTTTTAATAAATGCTGTTTAGTTAAAATTATTTTATGGAGAAAACCAGATATTTGGACCATATGCACAAAAATATTACTTATTTGGCACCATACACTTTAGAATTTCATTAAATGCAGTATTTATATTCTTAAATTCTTAAACCATCCATTGTTATTGTAATTTTATAAAGATTTATACATTTTTAACGCCTAAACATAATAGTACATAGTACATATAAGTTTTAGAATTGCTTAAATAATTATTGATTATTATAATAATTATTAGTATGATAATAATTAACAAAATTTTTAGATACGAGTATAATAAATTTCGTCTTTCAATACATGATAGTTGAAAATATTCTTATTTATAAATGTAAACCTAAAATTATTATTTAGGAAAATTTTAAACCAATAACATTTTAAATTAAAAAAATATTTAATGAATGTTAAAACCTAGTATTTTTAAGTTTAAAGATTCAATGTTTATGCTGTTATCTCTTTTTAAATAATGAAGGTAGAATTTTTTTAACATTTTTTTCGGATTTATGAGGGACTGTGTGACATTTCAACAGTAGATGTCAAAAAATTATCCAAAATCTAAATCCTTTCAGGATCAGTTATTATTTTAGTGAAGATTAAAGTATAATATGCAGTATACTATGACCAAAAATAAATTTTGTTAAAATAAAAGTAGTAAACCAAATATTTTTCATTTTGGTTTAATTTAAAAAAATAAGTTTTATACCCATATTTTAGTCTACCTATTTAAATTTATACATCTAAATATATATTTATTTTTACAAATATTTTATATTTTTCTCTAATTTTAGCCTTATCAAAAAATAACATTTAAATTTATTTTTTTAAATATTTTTGTTTAAAACTATTTGGGTAAATATTGTTTGGAATAATTTAAATAAAATAACAATACATTAAAGCATAATTATAATAAAATTCTTAAATATAAAATTTTATTTAATTTAAATAATTTTTTACTGAAATTTATATTAAAATATTATAATAATTAAAATTGTTCAATTTTACATGGAAATATTTATTGGTTTGTTCTTCTGGTTAAGTAATATCAACTTTTTATTAAACTATCTTGCATTAAGAAGGTTTTAGCAAGGATACGCGATTAATATTTGTTTTGCTTTTACCTTAACTTATAATAAAATCATTAATGTAGGTCACTGTTATCATATTGTGTCTAACCGATATTGTTTTTTAAATAATATTTACGTAGTTATTTTAATTTTAAATTTTAAATCGTCATATTACTGTATTAAAAATATAATACTTTAATAATATTTTCGTTTTGAAGGTAAATGAACTGACTGCAAATTTGTTATTGTTAGAAGTTTGATACATTATATTAATAAAAATAAATCTAATAATAATAAGAATAAATAAATTATATAAATTAACGCTAAACCATACATATATAATATACACTGAAAAAACAAATCTGTTTTATCAACCAATAAATTTTGTTGCAATTGTTCTTGTTGGTCCTAATAAAAAATTTGTTAACCCAAGTAAAGTGTTTAATACATTAGTATTTGCAACAAAAATGAATTTGTTGGAAAGAATTAGTTTACCTTACTGACAATATGCGTCGCCGCTAATAGGTATCCTTAAGTAAACATAACAAATATATTTTTTTTTTCAAGCGGCCATGATATACAACCTTATATGCCTGTATAGAGATAGTTGAAGTGCGTCTTTTTCATTAGCGGCAGACAAAAAACTCAAAAAAGCCTAGGGATAGAAGTAAATCCATAGGTGTCCCAATAGACGTCAAATAATAAAATTAATTTAGCATATCATACAAAGCAATCACGATGTATTAATTATATTAATTATAATCGCACGGAATATTTAGGGATTATTTATTAAATTTTAATTGAACGAAATAAAGAACAACTAGTTTATTAGTATAATATTATGATGATAGACGAGTCGCCAATGTCGGAACTCCAAACAAATGTCAGTACGTCAAAATTAATTCAAGCGCAGCATTTTGACAGAGCAGTGTTTATTTTTAGTTTAGCCTTTGTTATCTATGGTTTAGGATATTTATCGGCATTGTAAGTAAGGGTTATAAGTTTTTTTAGTTTTTATCAATAATTTCTAATGCTTTTAGCCAAAATTTTATACCACATGAGTTATGAGTAGATAAAATAATTCTATTTCTTATCCTATTTATATTACGCCCTTGAAAAAAAAATTGTATATGTTATTTGGAGTAGAAGCTCTTTTTGTGCTTCGTACAGTTGCCAGCCTCAGCTACGCTTCGGCCGTCAATCTCTGTACTCACCACAAAAAGAGTCACTTCTACTCCTTATGACATAATCTACTATTTGTTGTCAATTTTCGCCCAAAATTGGCATGACATTGAAATTTATTTTATAAAGTTGACCGACTTAGTGCCATGGTTAAAGTTAAGTCTTGGTGTCATAGTAATTAAATAATAAAAAAATAATTTGTCACTGTCAAAAAATTTTTGTGCAAATGCTAGAGGAAGCAGGTTCGCGTTAATTAATTTTTGTGCATTGGGTGTTATGGATGAAGGAGTAAACCAAATATTAACCGAGTGGGGATTTTCTTTATTAGAAAATACTTTTAAAGGTACCAAAATAATTTTTCTTAAAAAAAATCAAACAATATTAACCTATACCTACACAATATTCTTAATGCAACTCTTTTTATTAATTAGTATTACATACATACTGAAAGAGTTGCTTTAACAATATTGTGTAGGCATAGGTTAGTATTGTTTTTCTTTTAACAAAAATTATTTTTGGTGATTAAAAGAACTACCAAATGTTATAACAACAAAGCAACAATGTTGTAGTTACTCATTACCATAGCTTTTCCAACAAATTATTTTGTTTTAAAAACAAATAGATTTATAATGAAAACAAATGCAAAAAGTTATAGAAACAAATAAATTATTACCTAAAACAAATGTAAACTGTTTTAACAACAAAATATTATTGTATGAGATATCAATAATATTAGTTACTTTAAACAAGACGCCATAGTTTTGTCAACAAAAAATATTAGTTACAGTAACATATTATGTCTCAACAAAAAAATTTGTTGTTGTAACAAAGATTTTAGTTGAGGCTATAGCTACAAATAAAATTTGTTGGCGCAACTTTTTTTTAGTTGCTTAAACAAATTATTTTTTTCAGTGTACTACATACATATTCTAAGAGGCGGAAAAAGCCCTTTGCAAGGATTTTATGATGTTGCAGGTTCACTTTTCGTTTTAATTTTCGGTGGGTTTAGCAAAGAGAATCAGCTTTTAATATCTTTATTAATTGCACAGGTTTTTACTACAAAAATTGACATTTCACTGTTTTCTTTTTCTTTTTTCCAAACAACAACAACCAAAGTAACTAACGAGTATTTCTGGTTGCAAACAATGGGTGTTACAGTCTCCCCCTCTGGATGGAACGACGGGAGAGAAGTAAGTATCCAGGATTATTCTTGGA